GGGTTTGTGTATATTTGTCTGTATTTTCGGCTCTTTGATTGTTTATGAGATCTTCCTCTTAACCAGAATGAAATCCTGAAAGCTTGTTTACGGTTTGAGTGATGAATTGTTCCAGATATTTGATTTGCCTATCATTTGATCAATGTTTGTTTAATAGCTTGTCCTTAAATTGCCTTCTCTCACTTGAGCGTTAATTGTGACATTTCCAACTCCATGAGCGTAATCCCTTTGCATCAAAATATTTCCGTTCCCCGTGAGGTAAATGGAGTTGAGACTTTACTTTGGTGAGTTTTTCGATGCTATTTGTGTTATGGAATGTGGTAAGAAGGATACGGTTTGGTGCACACACACACGACTCTGGAGTTATGACTGAAGTAGTTTTGATAGCATTTTCTGATGATTTACTAATGTTTTGTTTGATTGCTTAGGTGATTTTTGCAGGTTTTGATTTGAATTTTCAGCTTGACATGATTTTTCTTTCGCTTGAATTGCTAGAGACTAGCAATAAGCTGGTTGGGGGTTGTGATAAGTGCACGAATTTGCACTTTTAATATTCATAATTGTCAAATTATTTTATCAAATTTGTGATTTTAATTTCAAATATTCCTAAATCTAGAGGATTTAATTTTAATTAGATTTATTTTATTTTTCAGGTTTTTGAAGAAAACAATTGGATTTGGGCTAGTTTACCAAGCAAAACCCAAAAGTTGAGCTCAAGAAAAGCCCAATTCGGCCCAAAGCCCATCAGCCGAGAAGCCGCGAGCCGAGCCAAGAAGCCGCGAGCCAACCCAGCGCCACGTGTCGACCACTGCCGCACCGCAGTCTGTGGGACCCAGCTGTCCCCACGGATACGCGCGTTTGGCACGCGCGGATCCTCTCCCCGGGTGAGTCTCCTCCACGCGCGCGTCACCCGGATTTCCTCTTTCTTCCGCGTGGGTCCCGCGTTCCAGCTTCCCTCCAGCCAGGTCTCGCCACGCGTCCCAGAGGGGCCCAGCTGCTCCCTCGGCCATGAGCGTTTGTGATGTTTTTTTTACTCACCCATTATCAGCCTATCTCCCCCGATTAAGCCTTGTAATTATGGATCCGTTTTTCCTAGTTTTTCTTAGCATTTTAAAAAACTCTATAAATAAGGTCATTGTCAAGGTGATTAGGGGTTGATTTTTAGAGCCTAAATTCTCATACATTTTCTCTTATTTTCTTGTTCTTATTCTCATACTTTCTTTTTAGAATTTTATGAGAATTATGTGCAAGCTAGGGTAGAGTATTTAGGTGAGGCTAGAGATGATCTTATATGTGTAGTGAACTTATTTAGATTTTTGATTCTCCAATGGTTTGTAAGTTTTATACATTTGAGTAAATAATTTTCTTTTATCATATTTCTTCCTCTTATCAATATATTTTATTGTCAACTTTCATATAAATCTAGTCAAGCTCTTTTTATGTGATTGTTGCATTATATTATATTGATATGTATTGTTTTATGAGTAGTCTTTTACTGCATTATTGCCAACGGTATATTGTCACTCTTAGATTTCTCATAAGATAATTTTTCCTAATTCTAAACGTTAGAATTTTATTTACTCGAATACATTTTTAATTCATATGTTCTTCAAATATTTATTTTCTGATTGTTTGTTTAGGATGTGAAACTTTCAATTGAGTCAATTTATGAATCAAAATCCAAATAGGTGAACAAAGCATATGGAGGATTCTCAAAACCTTACCACTTTTATTTATTAAATTTTCTCCATTTTAAATTGTTCTAAATATCATCAAAAACACTCATTCATTTTCTTTGTTTGATTGCTTACTTTCCTAACGCTTTTTATTTGCTAATCATTTCTTGTTCAATTTAACACTTCCTCGTGAGATCGACTGTTCAAATTGTACTACAATTGACCGCTTGTTTTTGTACACGTTTGGACGTAACCAGACAGGATATTTATAAAACAAAGTATGGATTCCCATGTATGCAGTCAATAGTTCACTGTGGAAACTTTTATAAAACATGGTCTAGTAACCGTTATCTCCCAGAAGGGCCTGAAAACATAGGCGCGATATTTACAACATTGAGAAACAGTGAAAACCATACATCGGCACGAGAAACAGCGGGGAGATCACATCTGAGCAACCAATTTTTCTGGTTCGGCGACGGTTTCAGAAAGAGTACCCTGAGTCCACCTTTTCAGCATCTCTAATGCAGCCTTGGGCTGGTCCATTGGAACCATGTGACCGGCGTTGTGGACCTGTTAGTTTTTTCATATCCCATACAACTATGTCAGCGTTGAGTATTGGTAAGAGAAAGTAAAGTATGTCCACGTGTTTGTGCGTGCGCAAGAGAAGGATACCTTGAGGAAACTGAGGGGTCCGTGGCTTTTCAGAACTCCTGCTTCTGAATCGTCAACCAGGAAAGGAACTTCAGGAGAAGCCACAAATTCTTTCTGACCAGACCATTCCATCGCATGAACCCATCTTGAATTCCCTGATCATATCAATTTATATCTGTAGGTAAATATCACATTCATGAGGAGAAAATTTCCTGACGATGGTTTGAACAATATGTCCCATAACTATGAGATACTTGAGCCTAAAAGCTTACCAAGCCAGTTGCAGATCAGATCGTATTCGCCAGCATACACAAGCAACTTCACTCCATCTTCAAGAAGAGTAGGAATACCCACTTCGAGATTCCTCATCCAGTCCAACAGCATGGCCTGATAAACCGTATGGCTACATGACACAAACTCTATGTCCCCAACTCCAAGAGAGGCCCTTACAGATTTCTGGTTCAAGAATTTCTCCAAATTTGAGAAGTCATAGCAAAGGCTTCCCACACATTGCTTCCTGATGTCATAGTACTGCGCACCAAAAAAGAATGTCGTTACTTATCGAAATTCAAGAGTTGTATTTTTTTTTTCCAATGCTAAAAAAAAGGAATATTAAAAAAATTGTTCCTTTGAGATCTTAGGGTCAAGACTTTCTCTAAACTCGAAATTGAGATGACAAAACTCCTGTTGTGTCTGAGACAAAATTACTAACAACTTATAAGCGATATATAAAAGTAGAATAGAGAGGAAATGGGTCTCTTACGTTTATATTCCCAGCACGTGCTATGATGCTGCTAAAAATGATATTGCAAACAAAATAAGAAGCCATACAAGAAACCGTACCATCAGTGCCTGAAAGACGCATGCACATATTATAACAACCAAATTACAAAAAAAAAAAATTTAAAAATTAAAAAATAAATACAGGCCTTTAACATGATGACATGAAATTTTAATGGATAGGTGTAGGAAGAATTTCAAGGAAAATAATAATATAATTAAAGGCCAGCAAACCCAAAAGGAAAGACGATTGTCGATTGTTCATGTTGCCTACCACAAAGCTTTATTGCCACTTCACAAGGACCAACCACCTTGTTGATACGTTCATAATCAGTCTTTGTTATTATGCCCATGTCCAATGCGTAATCCGTATAAGCTTTATACTGAATCGCAGGATCTGTAAGCCCATTTCCAATGGCAAATCCCTGTCCAATTGTTTTTCATGTATTAAAGATTAGTTTTTGAAAACCCGACTAAATCGATCAATTTTAACCGCAAATACTGATATATATGTTAGACCTTCAAATTTATATGAATTCCTTCTTTAGCTTTGTTTCCTCGGTGAACTCGAGCAGCAAAAGCAGGTATGTAGTGCCCGGCATATGATTCCCCAGTTATATAGAAGTCATTTTTCGCTAAATTAGGATGCTCTGCGAAGAATGCCTGAAATATAGAAACAACATTCTAAGGCTATCAATATTATGGTGGTTACACCAACACATGTTAATCATTAAAACAATGGTTTTCTCTCTCAAATCTCAAAGTGGAGGAATGGAAAGGTTTATTTTTTCCCCATTCACACAATCCAGTTCAGTGTAAGAACTCAACAACTAGTGACTAGTTATATGGTAGGAAAATTGGGGAAATATGAACATTATTTTTAAAATAAGTAGAAAGACCTCAGAAATACACCTGTAAAAAGTCATACAGGTCATTACTGACACCATATTCATTGTGACGAATGTCACGTTTGTCCGAACTGTAACTAAAACCGGTCCCAGTAGGTTGGTCAACATACAGAAGATTAGACGCCTGAAAAATGAAACAAAAAGGAAGATTCTTGGAAACCGATAGAGGAAGAAGAAAGGCACTACTAAAAAAATCAATATGGAAAGTACAACTCCAACAAAGTAAGATCGATTAACTGCACAATTTTCCTTTAAGTACTCATGTTAGCTTAAGATAATCCAATCCAACCATAACATAAAGGGAGAAGATCAAGAAAAGAAAAGGAAAAACCTGATCCCAGCCATATTGATTCCAAACAAGAGACAAGTTGTCTGCAATACTGAAAGGACCATTTTCATAGAACACAGCCAACTCACTGCTGCACCCTGGACCTCCAGTCAGCCAGATGACAACAGGGTCCTTCTTACTGCCGCGTGACTCAAAGAAAAGATAGAACATCCTATGGTACAACGAACGCACCAATAAGCATAACAGAAAAAACCCAGAAGCTATCGAAAATTTGAGCCAACGATAAATAATGTTCCTCATACACGTTGTTCAATCAAATTATCATATCTAATTTCAAATACAACAGTAATATCCATTTCGAGTAGAAAATTCTCACATGAGTCACCAATTTTAACCACGAAACCCAAAAAATGATTGACAAGCTCAGCGTGAAAGCAGATTAAACATCATAAACAGTAGCATGAAAAATATCCCTCATTATCTAAATAGTAAATTAATCACTTAAAGTCGGAAAGCAAATAAAATGAAACACCTGAAAACCAAAGTACTATTGAAATGAACAAGAGATTCAGTTCAAACTACAAAAGTAGTACGATTGAACATAATCTAGTTAATAATTGCAATGGTTATAAGCAAAACAAAATAGGAGCCAAATATACACGATAATACAAATCTATGATTGCAGCAGAAAATACACATCTATGATTCAATCAAACTACAGTAACAACTGTTTATAGTAAGCTGATCAATAATTGATAATAATTCGCTGACTGTGTTCCATTATTGCATGCGACATCAAAACCCATTTATTGATTGAAAAATTCCCTCAGATAAGTTATCAAATCCTAACTATGTCTTTCACAGACACAAGGGTCAAATTTGCATTGCGAACAAATCAAACAGCTTAAACCAGACCGCCATGAAACCTTAAGACCATCTGCTCAAATCTCACAATGCGAAATTACTAAGAACAGGAAAATCAAACGAAACGACGCAAGTCGGATAATCGAGAAACAAATCAATGGACTAAAAAAAAGGGAAAACACTGACTTTGCGGCATAAGAGTGCTCGATCTTGTAGTAACCGGCATGGTGGCCGAGGTCCTCGACGGAGACGCCGGAGTCGGCGAGGTTGGGCATGGTGAAGCGCTTCTCGACGAGCCTCTTGTTCGGGTCAGCCGAGGAGAGAGAATCTCCGGCATCGGCTCCGTCGATGAGGTTGACATCGTGGTCAGGAAAGAGATTGAGGGCTCTGATGAGGCTCTGGGCCTGCACGGACGGGAAGCTTGACCTGGCGAGACCGAGGCCGTCCGTCAAGCTCGCCAAGGAGAGAGGAGAGAGAAGCAGAAGAGAGAGAAAGAGGAAGCAGGAGAGAGATAGAGATCGCTCCATTTTTCTCAAAGATTCTGAGAGAGAGAGAGAGATGAAAATTGGAGAGTTATTTGTGAGGAAGAGAGAGAGAGAGAGAGAGAGAGAGAAAGTACAGGTGGCAGCACCTAACGGTCCGATGATGGAATCTAAGGGACTGTTAGCTCTGGGATGTAACGGAGAATGAAGACGAAGACTCGGGAATTATCATCTATAATGCGTTACATATGTTGCGCAGATAATAGCCGTTCGTTTCATGGAGCTCGCGGAAAGTCGACGATCAGAAATCGGGTCTTGTGGGGTCCTTTTATCCTGAACGGTGGGAGATTGGTGTGATTGATGAAATGGGTCGCAATTGCAAGTGAGTTTGGAGTGGAGGGGTTGGTGCCTTGGTGGTTGTGAGATGAGACGTGTTTAGGAAATAGCGGGAATCAGAAACCGAAAAGCGAAACGGATATTCGAGCAAAAGCAAGAAAAAACTGCTTTAAAAGGAAAAATATCAAAACTGAAAAGTGGGGTTGGAAATTTTTTTTTTTTTTTGTTTTTGTTTTTTTTTTTAGTGGGGTTGGAATTACGTGTGAAGAACTTCGCCATTAAGGATAGTTTTGTCGATAGACGAAGCAAAAGTCAGTGAAACTCATGATCGTACCGTGGGACCTTTACCTACTGGATTGCTCTTTTTGTTCACATTTTATAATTTTTTTTTTTTTTGTTAAGATGATTGGCATTCTTTAGTGCCCGTTTAGAATTGTTTTTGAAATGTTTGTTTAGTAAATATTTTAAAAATAAAAATAATGAGAATAATTTTTATAAACAAATAAAAAAATAGTTAAAAATTATTTTTATTTTTTTATTTTTATTTTTTAATATTTATTAATAATATTATAATATATTAATTAATAAATATAATTTTATTTTTTATATTTTAAATAATTTTAAAAAAAATTAACCAAATGTAATTTTAGAAACGGTAACAGAATGATTTTTAAAACAATCTCATTTTTATTTTTTATTGAAAATAAAGGGCGTGTTTAGTCCGCTGATTTGAGTTGAGATGTAATTTTATGTGAGTTTTTTACTATAGTTAAAAAGTTAGATGTGACTGTTTCTGAGAGTTTTTTACTGTAGTAAAACTCGAATCAGTGAAATGAACCGAGCCAAAATCATTTTGAAACTAATTCCAAACGCACCCTTAATTTTGTAATTTTGATCATAATTTTAGTTTCTAAATTTTTAATTTTGAAATATTATTCTTTAAATTTTTATTTTTAATATTTTTGATTCCTGATAGTACAATTAGTGAACAATATCTTAAATTTAATAAAAATAATTATGTGTTCACTGCATCATGATTACATAAAATTTTACAAAAAGAGTCATGTTATATGTAAATTTTTCTTTTCGTTACTATTAAAACCTATTAGACATTATAACATTTTATACGTACTTTAAATAACTATGTAAAATGTTCCGTTGTTATGCGATGAAATGTGATTATCTATATTACATTTTAAAATCATTCATCAATTTCTGCCGTCGTCGTGGATCAAAATTATCAAAAATTGAAAGTTCATGAAACTAAAATGCCACTATATTTAAAGTTCAGGGACTAACAAAACTAATAAACCTTCCTTTTTTTTTTTAACATACTTTTAGGTTTTCATTCTAAACATAGGGATGAGGGTAAAAAAAAAAAAAAAAAAAATTAAAATTTTTGGGAGTTTCTAAGTGGGAATCTCAGCATAGGTCAATGAAGTTCAATGGAGTTCATTAATCATAGCTGTACGATTTCCCATGGACTACATATTGTGAGAAATTTTTTTTAAGTAAATAATATCTATTAGAAATACTCATAACATATTTTAAAAAATGAGGGAAGTAAATAGCATATTTATTTATAAATAAATTTATTTACCTAACCTAAATAATTTACTGATAAATAAATATACTATTTACTTCACAAATGTTTCAAAATATGTTAGATGTGTTTGAAACTTTGAAGTTGTTTTTATTTTTCACATTTTTTGAGAAAGAAAAAATAAAAACAGAAAAAAATAACGTTTGACACAAATAAAGACAAAAAATAGAAATGAAAATGATTTTTTAGTTTAGTGTAAATATGGGAGAGAAATGAAATACAACTTTTAGTTGTTTTTAATTTTTTATTTCCGTTTTCTCATCTCTCTCTCTCTCTCGAGGAGAGAGAGAGACATTAATAGTTTTTTATACTGAAAATAATTTCTTGATAAAACTACCAAACGCCTTTTCAAAAATGATTTTTGTTTAAGATTGAAAACGTTTTCATTTCTATTTTCATACAAAAAATAAAATCATTTCAGAACGAGTTCCAAACGCACATTTCTTTATCTCTAATTGTTAGACTCAATTAATAAGCGTTAGGTGCTGCTTTTTTATTTTATTCTTATTTTTATAGGTTTGAATAGAAAATTCAAATAGTAATTAAAGTTTTTATGAAAGAAAAAACTTTAGCAAAAAGGGTTAAATAGTAATTCAAAATTATGAACCAAACACTTATTTGATTTAAATTGTAAGGTTCAGATTGATGCTTCCTACTATAGAGTGCCCCACCAAAAATATCTCTTTCAAAGTTTTTGAAGTGAAAAAAAGAGTATTTAATTACTACAGGCTCGTTTGGTATCGTTTATTAAAATAACTTTTTATTTTTAAACAAAAAAGTGATTTTTTTTAATACGTGTGGTGACATTCTTTTAAAGAAAAAGTTTTTAAATGATAGAGAAAAATTATTGTTTTCAAATTTGTTTTAAACAAAAACCTTAGGTTGTGGTCACTATTAAAGCTAAGATCACAAATGGATTAGAATTGGTGTTGGGGTTGGGGTTGAATCACTTTATGGGTTAGCTTGATAGCCAAGGGCCGCGACTGGAGTCAAGCTGATGAGTTGAAATCGATATAAAGGTCGGGTTGTGATCACCTTTGGGTTGGGTTCGTGATCGTCGTTGGGGTCAAGGCCAAGGGCTAGGATTGCCGGCAGGTTGGGTGGATGAGTCGGAAGCATTATCGAGATTGGGCCGACGAGTCAGGATTGCCATCAAGGTTAGGTCAATAGACCAAAATTGATACTGCGACTTGTTATGATCGAATTGGGACCGTTGAGTGATTATAGTCGAAGTGGGACCATTTGAGTGACGTCTGATATGTTGGGACCTTGAGGGCAAGATCCAAGTGGATAAAAAAAAAATGGGTATAGAAAATTTCTAAGGACATATTTGCAAAGATTTTAAAAATTGGGGAAAATGTAATTTTTTAATTTTCTAAAAATTAGGGATAGCTAAGGAAAAAAAAAAAAAAACTGATTTAGACTCCCCTTAACTCACCTCTTTAGCTTTGTGCCATTCTCTTCAGGTATGTTTGATTTTGATGGAATGACAATTCTTAAAATCCAGTCGTTTATATACCTAAGAAAAAAAAAATCAAAACAACGGATCTAGACTCTCTTAACTCACCTCTTTAGCTTTGTGCCATTCTCTTAATGTATGTTTGGTTTAATGGAATGACAATTCCTAAAATCCAGTCGTTCGTATGTTTGGTTAGACAAATTACGTGGGAATCAGTGTTCTTATAGAATTCATATTCCATCAAATAGTCGGATAACTATTTCTAAAGCATTTTATTCCAAAATTGATATTCATTAAAATTCTCCCTCCTTAAATTATCCCTTCCAGTGTTCTAAAATTTACTTTAAATACTCTTTTAACTAACAACTATGCAACGTGTTCGTCCATTCCAATGTCTCAAGCAGCGCAATTTAAAGTCAGAAATATGTATTACGTATTATGATTTGCATGACATACCAATCTCAAGGGTGGAATGTGGTAAGGAAAACACTTGATGGAATGTGGTAAGGAAAACATTTTAGAGCAAATTCAAATTTTCTGAGAAAAAATATTATAGCAGAAGTTGTAAATTCAAATTTTTTATGAGAAAAAACCATGTTTGAATCTAACTAAAATGGTTTGAACTCATCCTCTAAACACACCCATTAATAGTCCACTAGGCTACACAAACATTTCCTTGCATTAAAAAGGGAACAAAGTTAAAGGTTCACGATCTCACTTTAGAAAGCCTTGCCCTTAACTCTTCCATTTCTTACACCTGCAATAGTACGAATAAAACTTGCGGCTAGTAATAAGTAGAAGTTTATGCATAACTCAAGTCATTACTTAAATTGTGTATAAGAGAGAAACACTATAATAAAAAACTTAAATTTAAATTTTTGTGAGAGAAAACATTATAATAATATGACTTGAGTCATGAAATGAACAAGACCTTAGTATTCCCAATACCAAGGTCAATAAGATTATTCTGTTATATATATATATTTATTTAGAGTAAAAGTCTCTGCTTTTCATTTCAGGAACATTCTATGATAACAATATAAAGGCCCAAACAGTCACAAACTATATTATTGGCCAATGCAACAGGACAATTTGGAACAATTAACTTGATTATCACATGCTTAAGGAACAAGTAGAAGACGGGATATTTCATTCTTGTATGATCATAATCAAAACTAAATGAAATGCAAAAAAAAGTTGCATCCTTATACCATGTGAACTTCTACAACTTACAAGATATAAATAAGTTTTCAATTAATTAAAGAAAAACTCCAAGGATCTTTAAGGTTGTTCTTCATGAGTCATGATCAGCTATAGAAGATTATATGGGTCCTAATTAGAAATTAGGTTTTTAAGATTTCTCCACCTTTGGTCAGTCTCTGTGTTACTACTTGAACACTGACAATGGATGAATGAACCAGCCATAGGATGTATGATACGTCTTCATCTCGCTAATGAAACACTGTCAACGGCTGTTTAGTCAAAAAAGTCGAAAAGGCCTTCATCTTGCCAAATATCAACTAAAAAGTCCACCATTTCCTGCAAAGACCATAAACAGTTAATTTACACAACTAAAAAATGTGCAACAAGAAATTGAAAAATCTGATACAAACATGAAATGTCATAGAAACTAAAGTTGCGCGATAAAACTAAGGGCCATTCCCAGTCAAAGGTTTAGCCTGGTGGTAATTCCTCAACGACCTCTAATATTGAGGCCTTAAATTCAAATTCCCCCACATCTGATTCAAAAAATGAGGGGAAATAAAAAACTGCAAGGGCCATTTTCTAATCTTGATAAGACTCTCCTACCCACAACATAGAGGCATATGGTGTGTTTTAGATTGAAAATGTATGCAAGTAAAATTGTAAAATTTGCATCGATTGAGGGAGCTTACAGGCAATGGGATTGGCTCAGAAAAAGGCGCATTAGATGAGAGTAAATCATCATATGAGGTTGTCCAGCTGCGAGAAATGAGTTTATCATTAATTACCATGAATCATATCAGTAGCCAAAACAGACAGAACTAGCCAATCCTTTGATACCATTGAATATTATAGCACGTCAACAAACAATTGAGAACTTTTCATATGCTTTGTAGCGACGACTGAAGAGTCAACCATGAGAAATACAACTTTTTTTTAGCAAAATAAAATTTGTGGTCACGATATACCTTATGATCGGATCCTTTTCGTTTCTTTTTGTGTGCTGAGATTTATCTCCAACCCACTTTTTTCGGTTCTCATGCCAAGCAGTTGCACCTGCATGATATATCAGCCAGATTATGCTTTGAAGAAAAATAATGACCTTAATTATTTTCTTTCTAGGTAGCATGAAGAACAACTCAACTCTACTTGGACCTCAATCTTTTAAAAGAATTAAGCATATCATTAACCTATAGAGGTCGTAAGTCGTAACTATTGCAGTACAAATATAGTGTGGGATATTTTATTTTATAATAACAAAGGGTTTGAAATTATCTCATGAACTTATCAATACAATTAGGATTGTTTACCACTCTTATAACGATTCATCTTATTTCTTTAGTGTTATGTTCTCAACTTCCACGTAGGATTGCCAGTCTATGAAAAGCTAGAAGATCATGTGAGACATTTTCAGACTTCGATTGATGAATTAAGCTATCAAAATTTTCTCTCCAGTTTCTCTCTCCCACCACCAAATTTTACAATTCTCCTTCTGCTTCTCTATTCTTATTACTTCTATTTCTCTCTTTTCTTTCTTTCCAGACTTCAAAACATAATTTTATCTATAAACATGTCATGAAGAGAGAGAGAGAGAGAGAGAGAGAGTAATCACAACTTAAAAATCATAATGCAGACGGGCAACTATGACTATTTGAATTGGCCTGTGAATTAAATTTTAGGTATTAGGCCAAAACGTACAAAGAATTATGGGGACATTTTGTTTCAAATCCTCTCCCTTTCTTTCTCTTATCGTCCCATCTTCCCTAAGCTCTTATCTCAAACTATTGTCATAACATGGAATCAAATACATGTATAAAGCAGCACAGCCATATGAAACAATATAAGGTTAGCAAAAGTACTAGTATTTAGGGATTGGTATACCTTGAATATGATGAGTATAATATAATCTACACAAGCTTACCATAATTGATAGAAACAGACGTCTTCATTTCCTTTTCTGCAGTTTTTTTGCCACGATGATTAGCTGATTTCGTGTGCTCCGAAGGTTGTTTACAATCAGAAGGGGACTTCCCAGCACTCACCTCCATCATCTCCATAATGAGTTATGATTCATTCCCTTCCCCCGGTGACACAATAAGTTAACAAGTATTTCCTTTCAGATGCACCTTCTAAAACTTTTCCACCAGATATGGTCACCTGTATCCAACAAGGTCCGCAAAAGCAGATATTACCATAAAATAGCTCTGACTAACCGGTGATAATAACATTAAAAGTAAAAACCAAAGAAGGAAAATGTAAATGGTTACTTTGTTGCACACAAGGCGTATATTTTTTATTAAATAAACACTGACGGTCAACGGAAATTAGTGACAATAAAGGCTGATCTATATAGTAAGAAATCTGAAAATCATGCTTGTGTTAATGAATTAGTTGCAAAAGTACTCACAGACATACTGAATTTTCATATGATCGTCAGATTAGAAAAGCATAATGGACTACATAAGATCCATTATAAAAATAAAACATATATTGCCTTTACTAGCATAATGATGGGAGATTAGATAAAGCATTCCAAACTTATTCAGATTAGTTAAAAGAATTTCCAAACTTATTCAGGTTGTTGCAGGACACTAGTGAAGGTTCAACAGAAAGTGCAGTTGGCACTTGTGCATCTCGAACTATTAGTACGTAACGTATGAAACTTTCTTCAACTCAGAAAAGTTGATTCCACTACATATAAAGGAAAAGCTAGAGGAATAAAGAAAGTGGTATCCAATTTTACAACCTTTCACCAATTACTTTCCAAATAAGTTGTTCTCTGCCTTATTTTCCTAGCAAGAGAACGAGCCCGGACTACGTCCCTGACTCTTCAGCCAAGTTCCAAATGATTTAGGCCAATTAGTAACTCCAAATTCAATTGCGAAAAGGTAAATTCTTTTGTGTGGTTGACCATAGAAACCACAATATCTCGAACTTCCCTTTTGAAGACACATATATGTAGATTCCAAAGATCATTCTATAAGTATCACGGTTAACATCCTCCAAAGAATGAATTAATCCATCTTTTCCCCTGATTGCGGAATTAAAAGTTTAGACGCTCTTCTACTTTCTGTTATGCTTTCACTTTCATAGAGTCCGACTGCGCATATCTGATCCTAAATGACAATGCCCATATGCATTGAATTGTAATCTGGATTACCAAAGAATATTCCACTCCAAGATTACCAAAATCCGGTTCTCTATAGAGCCCTCACACCACTACATCAAGTTTCCTTTGAGCTTTATTTGTTTGCCGAGAAATAAAATTGTTCGAACCACCGAGTCATAAGATTTAACTTCCACTTTGTTCGACTTCCAAATTAACCATCAACTTTCAAGCTCGCCATCTTCCATCTAACACTGGCATAAGGGCCTAAAAGAGTGTCCACTTTGACAACCGAGCAGAAATCTGAGGCCAAAAAGCCAAATTCAATTTCAAGAACCATCTCCTAGTTTCTCACACTATCTAATTTATCAACCCAAAATCAAAAAGAAGCTTTAAAAAAAAAAAATCAATCAAAATAACATAGGTTAATAACATTTCAGCCACAAAGTGAAAAGAATGATATTTTTCAATCTATAAACAATCAAGGCTAAAACTTGATCCACAAAATCTCAGACTTCAGTAAATTAATATCAAGAAGTCACTCACTGCTTCAAGATCCAGGAATTTTTTTTTTTAATAATATGATTAATATCCATTCCATATTATTCCAATGCAACAAAGTTTACGAAACAGCAAAAATCTCTATAGATCCACCAGAACGTATCAAAGCATATAAAGAAATTTATAAACAAAATATTTCAATTTTTGTAATGCACTTCGAGCAAAAAAAAAAAAAAAAAGCAAACCCATTTAACATTATTAAGAAAACTTCACATCAAAATTAAAATAAAAAATATAAAAATTGTAAAAGGATCAAGAAACAGAGAAAAGGATTTGGGATTTTCTTCAGAAACATTACAAGCCATCATAAAGCAAAAAAAGGCGTACCTTCTTGAGCATGCATCACGAGAAGCATTTGGGTTTTTCTTCTTCTTCTTCTTAAAGAAGAGACTTGTACGAACTCTTCAATTATAGAAACTTAATGGGTTTGGTTTTGGGCAAGCGAAAGAGAAATATGAGGAACAAAATAAATGCAATTAAAAACGTCGTTTTCTTCGGGTTTGTATGATTTTCTTTCCTTCTCTGCCTTGTTGGCGTCCCCGTTTCCCACAGTTTTCTGTAAAATCTCCCTTCCTCTCCCTTACTGTTCTTGTCTTGCTGACGTGGATGCTATTAGGAAAAGATAAGACAATTGGTTTTTAAACCTAAATGACGATGATGCTCTACACCTACTACCTCTCCAGTACAAACAAAATTAGGGTATTTTGGTCATTTCAAAAATTTGATTGGGCGTGAATCTCTTGGCAGTTGGAATTGATGTGGGGTTATACTAAAACAAAAAAAAAAAACAAAAAAAACAAAAAAAAAAAAAGAAAGAAAAAAAAGACTTGGGATTTTGACTCTAGGATTTCATTAAGGGTGTGTTTGGTTGGGAGGAATAAAAAGAAATAGAAAAGAATCAAGGTTTATTCTCATTAGGGATGGTAATTCGTGTCACGTGTCGTGTTTTGATCGTTTCTTTCTAAATTTGCAGTCAACCCGAACACGACTCGTAATACGAAATTTTTTAAAATCGCAACACGAACACGACACAGCTACTTTACGAGTTGACACGACACGACACGAAATAACCCGTGACACGAAATTGACACGAAAATTGTATATTTTTATTTAGTTTTTTACATTTTAAAAATAACTTAAAATTCATAACACACTAAAATACAATAACATCCATTTAAATTAAGCAAATAATAGTATAAGATTTTGAGTATAACTATCATGATATCACAAGTTCATAATAAAATCAAAATATGTAATGAAAAATATATGTATTTTTTAGTTTTTTACGAATTTCGTGTCGTGTTCGAGTTAGGCGAGTCCAACTCGAAATTGACTCGTGTTTTTCGTGTCAATTTTAGGTCGACCCAATTTTGACCCGAAACTCTTTTTTCTCAACCCTAACCTGCGAAATTCGTGTCATTTTCAAGTCGTGTTGTCGTGTCGTGACCCATATTGCCGGCCCTAATTCTCATGTTTAGTTGGTTTTAGAAAAAAGAATGACCATTCAAAATGGAATGACTTTTTCATTAAATGAGTGAATCATCATTCCTTCCTCATATAAGAGGAATGCCCATTCCAAGCTCTTTTAATTTTCTTTTCCATCATTACCCTTGAATATTATAATTATTATATTAATATTTATAATATAATTAATATTATATTATAATAATTTTATATCTTATAACATGTAATATAATATATTATAATTATATAAGTATATTATAATATATCATATTTAATATTATAATAATATATTATATTACGTATTATACATTGTAATTATATTTACCATTATAAATATAATATAATATACCATATAATTGTGATATTGTAAATAATAATAATTATATTTATCATCATAAGATAATATAATATAATATATAGTTGTGATGTTGTAATTAATAATAATTATTATAATTACATTTTATAATATTATAATTAAGTATTTATATAATTATAATATAAATTTAATATAAATTTATATTATAATAGATAATAGATAATATACTATATTATATATTATAACTTATAAGTATAATATGTTATATTATATTATATTATTATATTTTACAATTATACTATATTTCTAATAATATAATATAATAGTAACATTATAATATAAAATAATCACAATATCATTATTTTATTATATTATATATCATTTTATATTATATATTATATATTATGATTGTATTATAATAATAAATAATTATATAACTATAATTATAATTATATATATTATATCCTTATAATTTTATGTATATAATATTAGTTATTAAATGATTATATTAATATATATGATATTAGTTATATTAATATGAGGGATAATTTTGTCTATACTATATCCTTATAATTATATATATATATAATATTAGCTATTAAATGATTATATTAATATATATGATATTACTTATATTAACATGAGGGGCAATTTTGTCAAAATGAAAATATTCATATACCATTCTATTGTATTTGTAAAAATAGATATTTCCTTTCCATTCTATTCCATTACCATTTCCATTATCATTCCTATTACCATTCCCCCACTGCAACTGAACGCACCCTAAGGGTGCGTTTAGTTACAGTGGAGAAATGGTAATAAGAATGGGAATGAAATGAAAAAGAAAGTTGATTCATTTATTTGGTTGTAATTTTAAGAATTCTCTGGAATAGAATATGAATATTTTCATGTTGACAAACTTACCCTTATGCTATATATAACACTAATATTTTATCTATCAATATGATATATAAAATGTAATATAATATAATAAACTTATTATTATATAATATATTATATAATTATGATATATAATATAATAATATTATTAAAATTATTAATATAATTATAATATTATAAAATATATTATAAGATTATATAATAAACAATAATAATTCAATTATAATATAATTAAAAATTACAACTATATTATATTATACTATAATATAATATAATATAATATATATAATTACAATATAATATATAATTATTATATTATATACAATAAATATATTATAATTAATAATCATGTGTAATGAACTATAATAGATAATAATATTAGAATTATAAGATTATATTAATATTTAATTATATTAATTATTATTATATTATTAATATAATAAAAATAATTATATTATATAATAAAATAATAATATTAAAATTATTAGTATAATTATGGTATTATTTGTTAAAATATTACAATTATATTATATTTTATCATTATATATATTATATTATAATATTATTATATATTATATTATAAGATATAATTACGTTACAATATATTATATATTATTATAAAATATTAAATAAATATATTATAATTTATAACTATATTATAAATTAATTATTATATTATTATAACTATATTATGTTATAATATTTTTTATTATATATTACATTATAATATAATATATAACTACCATATAATAAATTTTAATTATATTATAATATTAAAGGGTAATTATAGAAAAAAATAAAAATAAAAAACTTAGAATGACCATTCTTTCTTTTTTTTTTTCTAAAATTAAAGGTGAAGAGAAACAACGATCTATTAACAGCTCACATAGCGCTCTTTTTATCAAAGCCCTATAATCAATAGAAATAACGATCGATTAAGAGTCACGACATTGTAGAACACAAGCTACCACAGACACAAAACAAGAACTCAATAGGTAGAGAGACCACCTCTGAAATTATAAGAGAAATCTGGAGAAACAAACAAAGACATGATATAACCTAAACGGAAAAACATCATTGTATTTACTAACAAACACAAAACTAAAACAAAAAGGTAAACCTAAAAGACAATAACAAAACTCTGATGACGACGAATCAACCGCCTCTGATAAAGAGAGAGAAAGCCACATCACTACTTGTGAGGGAATAACAGGAAGAAGGCATGCCTCTTATGCAAGAGAAACCACTTGTAGCCACCCACCACCATCAACCAGGGAGGACATTGTCAAGCACAGATCCACCGTCCCGCAGGAACCAAGATCACCACAGTGAAGAAGAACAAGCGTCGGAAATGGCAGTAGCCCACGTAGGGAAAACCCATTAGTGTGGTCAAGAAATTCTTTCATTAATTTAGCATTTGATTAGAGATACTCTAATATGTTTCCTTCATGTCTTCTCCAACTTCAGTCTAGTCATCCTAGTCTTCATTTTTCCCTTTCATTTCTTTATTTCGTTGAGAAGTTGTAAGAAATAGACCTACTTTTAGAATCTTTGAAAGTAAATGCCAGATTTACAATAAACTAAAAATTAATATGCCATTTTGAAATTTCCATTTCTACCATCCTTTATAAGGTTTATTTCCATCTCTTTTTTTTCCTTTTTCTTCTCAGACTCTTCCCCTACAGCCCCTCTCTCTTTCCTGCCCTCTTCCTGTCTCTCTCCGACCATACTCTCTTTGCCAATCTCTCTCTTTTTCTCTACCAATCTTCCCCTCTCACCCCTTTCTCTCTCTATCTCTATGCCATAGCATCTCTGTCATCTTCACCTACTTCTTCTTCTTCTTCTTCCTCCTTACAACATCTCTGGTGGTGACTTCGTGAGCTCCGGTCGTGAGTGCGAATAAAGATCTCTGCGACAAAGACCGCGAGTGTGACGATGCATATTGTCGTGACACCTTCATGAGGCCCTTGGCCTAGCGACTGCTATGGAGACTGCTATGGCGACTAGAGAATGCAGATTTGGCAGAGCGGCAAAAAGTATCGAGGAGAGAGAGAGCGAGAGAGAGAGGAGAGAACCATTTTTTCAATTTTTAATTTTAACTAGTTGAATGGAAAATAAGTTTTAAGTTTGATCCCGCGCCAAAAAAATGTGTCTCCTTAGAAGTATTAATTATAGCAAGAGCAAAATAATTTTAAAAAATCAAAAACGAAAATAAGAATTAAATTATATAGGAGTTTTTGACCCAAAAAAGAAAATTAAGCATGAAGACATTTGAAAGGAACTTTTTAATTAAAAAAAGTGAGAAAACTAAAGTACTTTAAATAAGGATATTGTAAAAAAAAAAAAAAAATTGTAACAGTCAAAGAATATTATGAGAAAAAAACAAAGTCAATAAGATAAAAAAAAGGAAGAAAAATAATAAAAAAGTTAAAAAAGAAAAAGATAAGAAGGGGAAAAGTTAAAATGAAAAAAACAAATTAAAATTATATAGAAGTTTTTGAGCAAAAAAAGACATATTTGAAAAGAATTATTTTAATTAAAAAAAAGTAAGGGAAAAAGAAATTATATCAAAGAATGGTATTTTTAAAAAAAAAGAAATGTTAAAGAATATTAAGGAAAAATAAAAAAGACAACACGTGGTCTGTGGCCCTCTAGGAGCCCGTTTGTTTTCTGTATTCATCCATGATTCTGAATCATGAATCATGATTCTCTACAGTGTTTTCTCTCACAAAAAATACACGTAAAACGAGAATAGTTCTGAATCATGATTCTGAATACACGAACCAAACGAACACTAAACTATAAAAGTGTCCTTAATACAATAAAAAGATAAAAAAACAAAATAAGATTAGTAAAGAGCAAAAAACACACACAAAAATTCATAAAATAAAAATACAAGAACAAATTTTTTTTTTAAAAAGTAAAAATAATAATAA